CAGCCACCATAGTACCACAGGCTGATGGACAGGTGGTGGAAAGATAAGAACCACTATTCGAGATCCTTTCTTACTCAGAAGGTTCTAGATGCCTGAAAGAAAAGGGTTCACCATACCCCCAAGGCTCCAGATATTAAGTGAGGGAGGAGGTCGTTTCTAGCAGGAAGCGCCTCACAATAGCCTCTCCCCACCTCCCCAAGGAACTTGTCTATCGTGAAGTGGCCATTCAGGTGACTGTTTCAGAACAGAAGTCACATCCCAGAGTGACTTCCGGCCTGTACCCATACAGAACAACAGCACGTGGCAGTTCCCGGCCTGTACCCGTACAGAGCACCGCGCGCAGCAGTTCCCGGCCTGTACCCGTACAGAGCACGGCGCGTGGCAGTTTCTTCAGCTTTCAGAAAAAAAGAAGTATTTTGACCAGCCTATGCACCTTACTAAGGAGCCCTGGTGGCACACTTGTTAAAGCACTCAGCTGCTAATCTAAAGGTCATTGGTTTGAACCACCAGCCACTCTGCGGGAGAAAGATGTAGTAGTCTGCTTCCACAAAGATAACAGCCTTGGAAACCCTACTATCCATTCTATCTAACTACAGTTGAGTATTCTCATAAGATGGTTTGAATTGGCAAGTGAAAATGAGCAAAATAAGGTCAAATTGGATCAATTTCCTTATGCTTTATAATTATATGGATAATATGGTAAGTAGCACATGGCACTCTTATACATTGTTGTTAGATGCCACCGAGTCGATTCAGACTCATAGCAACCCCAGGTGACAGAGCAGAGCTGCCCCACAGGGTCTTCTAGGCTGTAATCTTTACAGAAGCAGACTACCGCGTCTTTCACCCAGGGAGCAGCTGGTGGGTTCAAAGCGCCAACCTTTCAGTTAGCAGCCAAGCACTTAACTGTTGTGCTGCCAGGGCTCCTTGCGTGCATATATAGAGATGTATATTCCCCCTTTTCTCTTTTTATTGCATAAATTGATCATTGATAACTTACAAGAGCCATGATTAGCACATCACAGAGCATTTTAACTGCCTAAAGTTGGATCCATATTCTAGGAAATGTTTCTCTCAAAACCAAATATTGAGCACAAGACTTAAGACTCTAGTCACTGTAGCTTTATTGGAAGCATTTTCTAGCAGATGTTGCATCTTGGTTTGCTCCTCTATTTTGTAAGTACTGCCCTTTTTTCTCAGTATTCATGAAACCAGTCCTTTCTTCTTGTCTGTAATAAGAGTAACATCTGTTTCTTCTTGTTCAATCAAAGAGGCCACCTCAAGAGCCTTACTTTAGAAGTAATACCATGAGAAGACAGTAGATAGAATGTGCTTCATGAACATCTTAAATTTGCATACGAAATGAGTTTTGCTAACAATTATAAGGTGGGGGATGTTAGAGAAAATATTCTGAACCAACTTTGTTATCTTACTTAAAAAAAAAAAAATTAAGACCAGGAGCTGGAACATGGCTTGAAAGATACTAATTTCTGGTTAAAAACTCTTTGCAAAAATATTTGTTTCCTTTTTTAATGTACAGTTGAAAAGTTTCTATCATTATGAACTGTTGAATAACTCAGGGTATTTATTATAAAGGAATACCAAGTGTCAAATCAAATTGGAACTGTTGCGATAAGATACACGTTTAAAACAAAAATAGTTTGGAAACTGTGTGCCCTGTTTGTATCAGTTCCCTCAACGCCGGTCACCATGAGAAAGAAGCCCTTGTCTGGAACTGGATTTATTGTTTGGAAATGTCCCGCTGACATTCAGAGCCACAGCCAGTGTATTAGATATGTATATATATGAAGCCCTGGTGGCACAATGGTTCAAGAACTCAGCTGCTAACCAAAAGGTCAGCGGTTCACAACCAACATTCACTCCTTGGAAGAAAGATGTAGCAGTCTGCTCCTTAAAGATTTCAGCCTTGGAAACCCTATGGGGCATTTCTGCTCTGTCCTACAGGGACCCTATGAGTCAGAATCGACTCAAGGCACGAAACAACAGCTATATATATATACACATATAAATCAAAACAAAAAAAAACCCACCAACAACCAAACCTGTTGCCTTTGAGTCGATTCTGACTCACAGTGACCCTATAGGACACAGTAGAACTGCCCCATAGGGTTTCCAAGGAGCAGTTGGTGGATTCGAACTGCCGACCTTTTGGTTAGCAGCCAAGCACTTAACTACTGGTCCGCCAGGACTCACAGATGTATGTGTATATATATATACATATATACATATACATATATATGTAGCCATTTTAACCATTTTTAAGTGTAAATTCAGCAACATTAATTATATTCACCACGTTGTACAACCACCTCCACTCTCCATTCCCAAGCGTTTTCCATCACTCCCAGCAGAAACTTAGTAACCCTTTAACAGTAACTCCCACTTCCTCTCCCCCATGCCCCTGCTAACTAGTAATAACCGTTTGTCCCTATGCACTTGCCTATTCTGGATATTCATGTGAGTGGGGTCATAATTAAATACATAAAATAATTTAGAAAGTTTGTTTTCCACTCTTACTTTCTGGAAATAATGTTGCTCGAATTCTCCATGCACGTCCTTCCCATGACTGTTACACTCCTGTCGCCCAGGGGGCCACCTGCATGTCCTCCCGGGACAGATCCTCCTCAGCTCTGAGAGGTGTGGCGCCGACTCCGCCCACAACAGCGGGTTTCGTTGTTGGTTTCATTCTGTAAGAATTCAGGCTCGGCAGCCAATATCCGTGAGTTTCAGTTCCCGGCTCTGCCACTTGCCGGTGGCAGGAGGCTTGAACTTTATTAGACTCATGTCCCTCATTCATATCTCGGGGATAGTTTTTCTGTTGAAATTTGATGTGAAGTTCAAACGAAGCCACACAGTTGGCCGAGCGGCCAGCACAGAGTTAATGATGTGTGTGCACACTCACGTGTACACAGATGGTGGTGCTAGGCATTTCCCTGGAGAGAGCCCTAGGCTGTGAGTTTATAACCTGTGGATTTAAGGAGGCTTTTGTTTTGTTTTGTTTTGAGCATTTGGCCCATTCTTGCCGATTTAAGGAAGAACAGCATTACATTTGGGCCATTCCCATCATAGAGGGCGGAGCCATACCTCTTGATGGGTAACATTAGAGTTTCAAAACAATAATTGGAATTAAAACGGGTGAAAATCACAGTCTAAGCTCAGAAGTGCAGCAGCTACTATTGACGAGGCCGCCTTTATCTGGGGCCTGATTTTTCTAGTAATTAAGTTCCTTGGAAAAAAATAAAATAGCCTCTTTATATACATCAGAATGGAATAATAGACTTTTGCCGTGAACAATTCAGTCGGTAATGTTCTATTTATAAATTAATTGCGTGATGAAATAATTTTCACAGGGATTTCCAGGAAGGCTTTCTGTTCTACCATCTACACCAGAAGACCCATCTGCTGAGGGCATCTTCCAGGGGCCTCCTCCGCGAGTGGGGTTATTCAGGATTAGATCTGGGATTGAACATTTGTAACAATGAAGTCTTTGGGATCCAGGCCACAGCAGGGCTCATCACACTGAAAAGGCAACAGCAAAAACCCATCAAAACCATGCCCTCAGCTGTTGTTGCTGTGGTTGTTAGCTTCTGTCAAGTCGGCCCTGACTCATGGCGACCCTGTGCACAATGGGATCGGACTGTTGTGATCCATTGGGTTTCCACTGGCTGATTTTTGTAAGTAGATCACCAGGCCTTTCTTCCTAGTCTGTCTTAGTCTGGAGGCTCCACTGAAACCTGTTCAGCATCATAGCAACATGCAAGCATCTATTGACAGATGGGTGGTGGCTTGCGCATGAGGCTCACAGGCTAGGAATCAAAACCAGGTCTCCCACATGGAAGACGAGAATCCTACCACTGAGCCATCCAATTATGCTTTGTGAAGTAAGAGCTTAAACTGAACACAAACGTTAAACTCTCGCCTGCTTCATGAGAGGTCAACAGGATCTCTGTTCCCAAAGATCTCTGTATTAGGCAACAATGAAACACAATTATGGGAGTGCAAAGTGTTGGTTTCGTTTGTTGGGTTTTATTTGTTTAAACATGGCCTATTCCTTTATAAAAATGTTGGCAGTTCAAGTCCATCAGCTACTCCTTGGAAACCCTATGGAGTAGTTCCACTCTGTCCTATAGGCTCGCTGTGAGTCGACATGGACTCAAGGGCAACAGCTTTTTTGGGATTTTTTATTCCATTATAAAGGTATCATGTCTAAATGAGCAGATGATCCTGAGGTTGATTTCCATGCGTATCAGTGGTTAGTTAGCACATGTAAATGCCCATACTCACACATGTATTTTTCAGGTCTTAATTTCTGTAAGCTAGCCTTGCCCGGGGGTCCCTAGGTGGTGCAAACGTCTAAGTGCTTGGCTGCTAACTCACGCAGAGGTGACTCCGAAGAAGGCCTGGTCTGCTCCTGAAAACTCAGCCACTGAAAACCCTGTGGAGCACAGTTCTACTCTGACACACATGGGGTCTCCATAAGTAGAGGTTAACTTGATGGTAACTGGTTTTTATACTTGCCAAACGTAGTTATTGAGAGAAAATAACTAGGACAAAAGTTTTTTTTTAAATTAAAACTCAAGAGAAATCTGAGATAAAAGCCATGAATCCATTTTCTTATTTGAGAGGGGGTCCAGCAAAGCTAACCAGAACGTAAGTTATTTAATTACATAGTTACTGTTTAAAATAATTTATTATCACCTCTCAAACGACTTGACCCAACCCACTCTGTTTCCCAGGTACCCAACGACATATTGAAACTATTTCTCCCTTTGCCTCGTTCAGTCCAGTGCAGGGTAGAACCACTTATGAAGTTAAAGGAGAATGAGATGTTAGTGCCAATCCTGAACAGCCCTGAATTAATGCTCCCAGATGAAAATATATCATTTCTACTTGTGTAATGCTGACCTTGTTGGTATAAAAAATTGCTTTTAGCTGAACCGTCTTGAGAAAAAGCACCAATTTTTATGTTGTCCTCCCAGGTTCTGGGCTGAACAACGGTCAGTGGCACGAGGTCCGTTTCCTGGCCAAGGAGAACTTCGCCGTCCTCACCATCGACGGTGATGAGGCTTCAGCGGTCCGGACCAACAGCCCTCTCCAGGTCAAAACTGGCGAGAAGTACTTCTTTGGAGGTAAGAACGCCTCTTGTCCATTGGTTAACTAATACATCAGCGAAAATGGAGTCTCAGTGAAGTTTGATATGTCCAGAAACCAACTAATCACAGACATCTTGGTGATCACAGATAACTTAGTAAAATTGAAGACTCTAACAACAAACTCTTCTCTGTGTGAAAGAGCATTGCGGTGAGAATCTGGCATGTTTTCTCAGTTTGAGAAAGGAATCTTGCCAGAAAACAGTATTTTGTCATATTTAATCATTTAATTAAAGTGCCAGATGTGTTCTTTAGATTGATGTATCTTCTATTAAATTGTCTTTCCCATCCTAAATCATAAATGTAAGATCTAAACAAATACATCCCATCTCTAAGAAGAGCTTGGTTTAAGCTTTAAAAATTATATATGCACATTTACTTGCCTCTGAACGTATTTCTATTAATTTTCAAGTATCTGTTTATCTATTTTTGCAAACGTGTATTTATATATCACTGTCAATCTTTTTCCTAGTTACTAGATGGTAAGCCGGTATTGGAGTTGACACTGTGTCAACCCTCACACGGACAGATGTGTACCCTTATTGCATCCCCAAGTGTCAGAAGACTTCCTGGAAGGCAGTAAATGATGAATAAATATTTGTGAATGAATTAGGAGATTCTATAAAACAGGCAAGGCAAGCAACACATTCCCAGCTGTGTAGAGGAAGAAATAAGCTCCAGGAGGCTTTCCGACTTACCCCTGATTTTGGAGCCAGCCCTTGAGTTCAAGATATCTGACTCCCATGCCAGAGCACCCACTCCACCCCAAACCAGCCCCACTCCCGGCCTCCTCCACAGTATCATGATGAATGACATCTCAGAGACAGAAGTCCTAAACTCGACCTCTGCTTCTTGGATCTCTCACGGTGGTGGAAGATAAGACATGATGTTAGAAGGCACTGAATAAATATTTGATAAGTGGCTGGAAGTCAGACAAGGTGTCTGTGAGCAAATAAACTGGGACCGATTGATGTGAGAAAAAGCAATCCAAAAACAAGCTGATATTCCTCCAAAAAAATGTTTAACATGATGTGCATTTGGCTAGCAGTTTCCGTTGTTGTCACAGAGAACAGATCACAATAATTTGTTGGAAAGTTATTGATGACCTCTACCCATTCAAATGACAGAGACAGATGTTTGGCCATTCATTTGCTGGTTGAACGCCTAAGGCCAGTGTTGATCTACGTCCACATAGATAGGAGAGCAAAGAGCCGTCATCACAGATTGCTGGAACGGAGTTTATAGAGAGTTTTAATAAAGTGGTGTACTACATTCGCTATTGGAGCCCTGATGGTGCAGTGGTGAAGCGTTTGGCTGCTAACCAAATGGGCAGCAGTTCAAATCCACCAGCCACTTTTTAGAAACCCTAGGGGGCAGTTCTACTGTGTTAGAATCAACTCAAGGGCAACGAGTTTGTTTGTTTTTGGTTTTATTTGCCATTACTTTACAAATCTAGGTTCAGATCCAGCAAGCAGAGGAGATTGACTTCGTCTTGGGTTTAGGAGTCCTGTTGGTGCAAACAGTTAAGCCCATGCCTGCTAAAGGAAAGGTTGGTGGTTCAAGTCTACTCAGAGGTGCTTCCAAAGAAAAGACTGGTGATCTACTTCCAAAAAATCAGCAATTGAAAACCCTGTGGAGCACGGTTCTACTCTGACACACAGGGGTTCACCATGAGTCGGGGGTGACTCCCTGGCAACTGGTTTATTTATTTATTTATTAAATGCAGGAGGGGGATAAGTCCTGGAAGACGTCACAGTCTCTGACAACGCCTGCCTTCGATTCTGAACAATTGGTTTGATTATGACTCTGTGCTCAATTTTACTTAATAAAGTGGCATTTATTATTCACTCCTTGAACAAATTTTGAAAATCTGTATATGGCTGTCTAACCTAAGGATATTGAGTTTGTGGAGTTCATTAAAGTGGATGAATTTATTTTATCAGTTTTCAATTATCCATCATCCTCACCTAAAGCTTTTTATAACAGCTATTTTAGAGTAGTATAATTCAGTCCTTTTAAAAAGGCAGTAAAAGGCTCTCTGATCTTGTGTTTACATCTCTTTGCCAGCCCCACTCATCTCTGTCTTCTCCCCAGAAAACCCAATTCAATAAATTTCTTGCATTTAATTTAAGAGACAAAAATTATTTGATCATTCCTCAAAATAACCAGAGTCGACTGAAACAGACGTTGGTTGTTGTCTGAGCACTTTCTCTTCTGTTTTGCTCACAAGGTAAATGATTGCACGTTTCTTAGTTTCCGTGTGGTGGAGTTGCAAGGGAAAGGGAGAATGATCAGGGCTGCTTAGTCTGGAGAACAGGAAATGACAGTTCAGGGGCCAGAAAGAGTGTCTTTGGGCTTAGGATGCTGTCCAAGACTGAGGGGGAAGTGAGGTTGACCAGCAGCCCACTAGACTGCAAGCTTCCTGAGGGTAGAAACTGCCCTGACTCTGGCCTTCCAGTGACCAAGCTATCACCGTGTCTCCATACGTAGGGTGCTCATTACATATTTGTTCCCTGAATTGTTGGGGTTGTTATCCATAGGGTAGAAGCCATTCTGTTGTTGTTGTTAGGTGCTATTAAGTTGCTTCCTACTCATAGCAACCCCACGTACAGCAGAATGAAACACTGCCCTGTCCAGCCCCATCCTCATGATTGTTGTTATGCTTGAGCCCATTGGTGCAGCCACTGTGTCAATCCATCTCATTGAGCGTCTTCCTCTTTTTCACTGACCCTCTACTTTACCAAGCATGATGTCCTTCTCCAGGGACTGGTCCCTCCTGATAACATGTCCAAAGCGTGTAAGATGTAGTGTCACCATCCTGGCTTCTAAGCAACATTCTGGTTGTACCTCTTCTAAGACAGATTTGCTCGTTCTTCTGGCAGTTCATGGTATAGTCAATATTCTTGGCCAACACCATAATACAAAGGCATCTATTCTTTGGTCTTCGTTATTCATTGCCCAGCTTTTGCATGTATATGAGGCAATCGATTGAAAACACCATGGGTTGGGTCAGGCGCACCTTAGCCCTTAAAATGACATCTTTGCCATTCGATTGGAGATAATTTATATTATTTTATCCTGAAGGCAGGAGTTCCTGTGTTTCAATTTTTTTTTGCCATCTTGTTATTAAAACAATCATAGGAGACACCATGCCACGTCTGATGTGTGGCCAATCAGCCATATATCTCTGTCTCTTACTGTGGGTGGCATCAAGTGTAATTTGGAGGAAGGTATGTTCTTGCCCTTGACATCAACTTAAAGGTTAAAGATGCACTTTTAAGACCTTAGCTTTCCTCAATCAACATCTCTAGTTTTTCCCTCTAAGAATTTAGCTTAATCTTTCTAAAACTTATTTTTATGTTTTAAGCCAATATTGTCCACTGGAAAGGCGCATTTTCTAAGTTTATCATTTGTTTATCAAAGAAAAAACTCAAAGTACCTCTTTAATGTTAAACAATGAACTGTCTTTTAAGTGTACTGTCCGTTTCCTCTGTCCATGAAGACCTACTGTGCTGAACACAGATGAGCATCAGCATCCTCCTCGTCTAAGGTATCACAGATACCAAGGAGAGAAGAGGCGTCGTTCAGTTCTGAACACACCTGTGCATAGGACTCAAGGGTGGGAGTCAGCCTCCAAAGTTGTAAAACATCACCATCTCAAAATGATTTTAGAGAAGTGAGATCAGAGGACTTAAAAATAAATACCATGGTATGTTTAAGGCTGCACGTGAAGTGTGCTTAACATCCTTGAGCCTCCCAGGTGCCTCTGTCAGTCAGTCTGTGGGGTCAGCCTTAAGCACGGGGGCCACCCCTCTCTTGTCTGGTGAGATAAAGAGGTTCAGACACCCCAGTGAGAGGACACTTCTAGCATGTGAAATGATTGCAAGTGGTTTACTTCTGAGGAAATTGAAAATTTCCAAATAGCTCCTGTTTGTCATTGCTGTCTCAATACTGCTTAGTGTTCACCAGTGCAAACCAAGTGGCAGCTAGGAGCCCCTACGTTGTGGTGGGAACACTCGCACTGGTCACCGCGTCCGGCTCTGAGCATTGCTGGATTTGCAGGATGTGTGACTTTGTTTTCCAGCTGGAGGTGGTGAGCATCAGGGTCAGCGTCTCCTGTCGCCTCTGAGCTCCAGCACTTGGCTCTGATGCGTGTGGGCCCTCGCCCGTCTCCCATGAGGCCACAGACCCTGAGCTCTTGAAGGCTGGGGGTGGTGTCGGTCCTGTTTACCCTTGTTTCCAACTATTAAAACCTAATATGCCCATTGCCGTTGAGTTGATTCTGACTCACAGCGACCCTACAGGACAGAGTAGAACTGCCCCATAGGATTTCTGAGGAGCTGCTGGTGGATTCCAACTGTCCACCTTTTGGTTAGCAGACAAATATTTAACAACTGCACCACCAGGGCTCCAAAACCTAGTATAATGGGTGCTTAATATATGTCAGATGAGTGCCTGCATGAGTAATAGGATGTCTGAAAAAATAAATGAACTAGCAAACAGGCTGGTGCATCTCAGAATCTCAGTAGAAATAATTTGCTGATTTTCCTCTTGTTGACCAAATTCCTCTAGAAACCCTAAAATCCCAAAGCTGAGACAGGATGGTGACATTCACTGACTGCTGACCGCATTCTGGGAACGATTTTGAGCGTTTTACTTCTCTCTCGTGATCTTCACTTTAGCCTCCTCAGGGGACTGTTGTTATTATGCCCATTTAACAGAGGTGGACGCTAAGCCTCAGTTATGTGATTTGCCCAAGGACCCTGTGCTCCTCAGAGTCAGGATTGGAATCTAGGTTTCTCCGATTCCGATCGTGAACTCCTAGCCCACATCAGATGCCTGCATCTCATCATGTGCCCGCACCTAGTAGGTGTTTTCTGAATTACTTTCCAGGTTAAATTGCAATCAGTGTTTCAAGAGTTGTACAAAAGGGATTGTAACCAACATCACAAAACAATTTGTGTCTAAATTTTTGAATG